ATACCATGGACAACATTCTTAGTACCTGAAGGACTTTATGAATGGCTAGTTATGCCATTTGGTTTGAAGAATGCCCCAGCAGTGTTCCAAAGAAAAATGGATAAATGCTTCAGAGGAAGCAAGGCTATTTTTTCATCAAGGGAAACAAGTTCAAAATTTCCCTTATATATGCATTTGATATGCATGACAGCAATGGCATTGAAATGCTGATAGGTACCAACTTCCTAAGGTCCATGAAAGGAGGAATTCGTATAGAAGGTGATGAGATAACTATTTATAAGAAGGTTACCAAGATCAAAACTTCAGAGCAATCTGAGGTTGCTGAAGTTGTCATCACTGAGCTTGAAATTAGTGAAGAAGATTTCTTTGAAATAAATGAATCTATTTATTTCAACCAAGAAGGTAACAATGCATTCCTAGAACGGTTTAAACCTGTCATTGATAGGTTAAAGCTCCAAGGATACATCGGAGAAGAATCTTTAAAGCATTGGAAGAAGAATGGTGAGCTTTGTAAACTGGATATTATAAATCCAAACATTACAATTGAAGATCGACCACTAAAACATGTGACACCAGCAATGGAAGATTCGTTCAGAATACATGTTGATAGTTTACTCAAGATTGGTGCTATTCGTCCAAGCAAAAGCAGACACAGAACGATGGCAATGATCGTAAACTCAGGAACAACAATTGATCCTGTAACTGGAAAGGAGGTCAAAGGGAAAGAAAGAATGGTTTTTAATTATAAATCCTTGAATGACAACACATACAAGGACCAATACTCCTTACCAGGCATAAATACGATCATCAAGAGAATAGGAGGTGCAAAAATATTCTCAAAATTTGATCTCAAATCAAGGTTCCATCAAGTCGCCATGGATGAAGAATCAATACCATGGACAGCATTCTTAGTACCTGGAGGACTTTATGAATGGCTAGTTATGCCATTTGGTTTGAAGAATGCCCCAGCAGTGTTCCAAAGAAAAATGGATAAATGCTTCAGAGGTACATAATCATTTATCGCAGTATATATTGATGATATACTGATTTTCTCAAAAAACGAAAAAGAACATGCAAAGCACTTGGAAAAGATGTTGCAGATATGTGAGGATAATGGCCTAGTCCTGTCTCCAACAAAGATGAAGATAGCAGTCCCAACAATAGATTTTCTGGGAGTAGTCGTAGGAGAAGGAACCATAAGATTGCAACCGCACATCATAAAGAAGATTGTGAACTTCAACGAAGAAGAATTGAAGACAAAGAAGGGGTTGAGGTCATTCTTAGGAATCCTTAACTATGCTCGTAATCATATCCCAAAACTTGGGGTACTATTAAGGCCACTGTACGAAAAGACAAATGCTCATGGAGACAAAAGATTGAAGCCTTCTGATTATGAGTTAATCTAGCAGAAGAGATAGAGAAGTCTCCCATACTAGAAAGAGACCAAAGCCACCTAAATAGTACTGACTCCATCAACTGAACCAAACCTTCCCATTGGGTGTTTTCGGTTCCACCCCTAGGAGCCCTTCGAAAAGAAAAGAGAAGAGAACCATGTTTCCATTTTAGCTTGAACCATCACCTGCTTATCCAACTCTAAATTAAAAAGTCTCAGGAATTGACTTTTTAAATTAGAGTGTACAATCCAAATGTCATTCCAAAAGGAAGTTAAAGACCTATCTCCTACCTTCTTTTTACAAAACAAAAACAAGTTGACACCCTTATTTTTCAACTGGTCCACGACTCTCAAAATATCTAACCACACCAAACCTCTACCAATATACAATCTAGAACCAATACAAGCGTTATCCCCGTGAATAGCTTTGACAACTTTCACCCAAAAAGAATTAGGAGAAGAAACGAAACACCAAACCCACTTAAAAGAAGAGCTTTATTAAGAGCAAAAAAACTACTCACCCCTAGACCGCCAAAGCTTTTTTGAGCTAGAACTTTTTTCCAAGCAACCCAAGTTAATTTTTTCTCATCCGGATCAACTCCAATGAAGAACTTATTACGTATAGCTTCCAAAGAATTCAAAACACCAATATGAGCTCTATAGAAGGACATAAAGAAAGTGGGATGGGAGCCCAAGACTGACTTAATCAAAGTCAATATACCTCCGACCGAGAGAGTTTTGACTTTCCATTTAGAAAGTCTAGCCACCACTTCAACAACAATATCTTTCCAACTATCTATACGGGACATATTTTGACCCACAAGAAGGCCGAGATACTGAAAGGGAGCTTTCATAGAAGCACACCCAATATGATTCGCCGTCTTTTCAACCTGCAGACTTTGCACCCCAAGACCAAGTAGGTTGCACTTGGAAAGATTAATCTTCAATCCTGAAGCTAAAAAAAACAATGCAAAACACGAACAATATTTCTAATATTAAAGCCCTTCCATTCTCCGACAAAAATCGCATCATCCGCATAGAATAGGTGAGAAATACACAAATTCGGCCTCGAATCAAGAGAAATACCTTGAAATAAACCAACATCAACCACTCTTTGAAACGCCACATGTAAGCTCTCCATAACCAAAATAAACAAAAAATGAGAAAGAGGGTCTCCTTGTCTAAGACCCTTGAAAAACCGGAACTCCTCCGTAGGGCAGCCATTAACAAGAACAAAACCCCAAGAAGAAACTAAGCACCCGTGAATCCAGTTTCTCCATCTAACACCAAACCCCATCTTTCTAAGAACATCATCCAGAAAATCCCAGCTCACCGAGTCACAGGCCTTTTCAAAACCAACTTTGAACACCATAGCCGATTTATTTTCAGCTTACACCAAGATATAATTCCATTCATAATGAAAGGGCCATCAAGAATTTCTCTGCCTTTTATAAAAGTCGGTTGTTCGTTGCTAACCAAACTATCCACCACCAAGGACAACCGATTCGCCAAGATCTTCCACTATCTTGTATTGACAACCAATCAGACTAATGGGGCGAAAATCGTTTTTAGCATCAACCACTTATGAAATAAGAGTAATAAATGAAGGATTACATCCTTTCGGGAACCGAGAAGAAGAGAAAAAATCTTTTACCACCTTAACAAAATTCGTTTCCAACAAATTCCAGAATCTTCTAGTAAAATCAAACGAAAAACCATCTGGTCTTGAGGATTTATCACCTCCATAATCCCAAACAGTCGCTTTGATTTCCTCAATTTCCTCAGAAGAAACGTCACCTTCCAAAAACGAAGCCTACTCATACGACACGACAGAGTATGAATGAAATCATGCGAGACTAAAGCCATATTCCCACCCGGTTTTGCAAACCTGGTTCTAAAATGCTCAAATAATTCAGACTTAACAATGGATGGGTCGTCAACCCAACAACCATTTTTAAGAATACCCCTAATAGCCACCCGTCGCCTGGTTTTATTAAGGATACCATGAAAAATAATTGTGTTTTCATCTCCCTCAACATTCCACTTCACTTTAGCTTTTTGAGCCAAATCATCTATCTCTTGCTTTTCAATACACAACATTCTTTAAAGAGAACTTTCTTATTATCCAAATCCACCATTCACTTTAGCTTTTTGAGCCAAATCATCTATCTCTTGCTTTTTAATACACAACATATCTTTAAAGAGAACTTTCCTATTATCCAAATCCACCGTAGAAGCGAGACCCAAATTAATTTGTTTATCCAAGACCGCCAACTTGTTGATCATGTCATTTTTATTGTTCAACCGCTTCTCACTAACAATAGAAGCCCACTCCTTAATATTTTTCTTTAATGTTTGAAGTTTCTTTTTGATAGCTATCAAACCATTGGCCTCTACAACCCCATCATTTTTCCAAGAATTTTCCACAACCTTCACAAAACCATCATTTGAAAACCAGAAATGAAAAACTCTAAACAAAGCCGGCCCATAATCGTAAGCCAGTTCTTTCAAGAGAATTGGACGATGATCTGACGAATGGCGATCCAAAACTAACCCATAAATATTAGGAAAAGCATTAATCAAGCCTTTAGAAATAAGATATCGATCAAGTTTACTCATCTTTTAAGTTGCTTTGTTCGACCAAGTGAACAAATAACCTCCAAGTGGGACATCAAAGAGAGAAATATTATTAATAAAATTATTAAAAAGATCTGCATCCCCAGAATTAAAAATCGAACCATACCGATCAGCTTCATAACGAACTTCATTGAAATCTCCCATAATAATAACCTCCCCTTCCCAAGAATCCATAACCCGAAAGAGTTGATCCCAAGTTTTTATTTTTTCCGAAATTGCTTGAGGTGCATACACAGATATAACAAGCACCAGGACATTAAACGGTCTCCAAATACCCTCCACAAGAATAAAATTAACTTTAGAAAACACCTTGTGTTTTAAAAACAAGGATTTGTTCCAAACACATAAAATTCCCCCGGATAAACCTCTCGCCAAACTACAAGAATAATCAAAGTCATTATTCCCCCATAGAGAATAACTCCAAACTCTTCCTTTTAGTCTCCTACAATGATAAAAAAGAGATTTGATTCTTGTTGCATAACTCCCTCACCCACTTCATCTTTGGCCCCTTCCCCGTTCCTTAAATGTTCAAAGAAAGACAATTCATGATAAACCATTCGAACCTCCATTCGCCAAAATAATCTGTGTAAGTTAGCTATTCTAAAAAAGAAATAAATAAATTTAAGTTTATAATGACAAGTGATTCATTAACTCTTGTGTTTGTTTTTGTTATAGCTACTCAAATTGATTGTATGGATACAAACATCAAATAATCATAATCATAATAACTTTACCCAAACGCTAAATCTTAATCCAGAAAACACTATAATCAATCAAATTAAGTCGATGCACATCTAACCACCCCCTTCTATGACGTTTTTACATATTTTATTAACAAACAACATTACAAATTTGTAATGAAATCATAGATATAATTGCAAATACCATTGCGCATACATCTGCTTATAAAAAAACAAATTAATGAAGATAGAATAAAATACACTTTAAATTTTCAAAAGCTTAATATTCTATGATGTCATTCCCATACCATGGTTTTTTTTTACTAAACTAACACTAACTATATAAACTAATTTTCCTCTCATAACTCACAAACACCAAGTTGAGTTTACCTTGGGATTCTGAAATGAGACTATTGGAATATTTGGCTTTGACTTTTGATTCAAAAATCCCAGCAATTTATGCAATCGATGATTTGCAGATAGGGCATGACGTTTTCCTTCTCAGCCATTGATCGATACACTGTCACACACACAAACACACACAAAGAGCAATGGCTTATGAGTAAAAGATTTGTCTTCTTTGAAGAATCTCCAATTAATTTATAGTCATTTATTCTTTTTTTGTTAGAACGACTTAATGGAGAAAGTTAAGGAAAGTAAGGCTATCCCCATTAAGTCCTACCTTTTTTAAAAATTTGCCCTTAATTGTTTTTTGGGTTAATCACAAAAATGACCTAAATGAGAGGGGCGAGTATATATAGTAAAAAAAATCCTTTTGAACAAATATCACAAAAATAAGTACCCCATTTCGCAAAATGGACTTTTTTCTCAATTTTTTGTGAAATGGAAATTTTATTTTTAATATTGTTGTAGTGGGGGAACATTCATAAAGCAAACTTGAAAAATATTTTTTATCAAGTCTTTTTTTTTTTTAATAAAAAAAAGGATAAAAGTTTTTTACCTCTTTGTGAAATCTATGAAGGCAAGGAAGATGACGAATGGTTTCACCAATTGCAGGAGTCTCAAGACAAATTGAGCATTCTTGAAGATTTTCAGCCTGCAAACAAAATAGTATTTCTTTATTTATTAATTATTACTAATAAATAAATAAACAAATAAAATAACCACAAACTGTAAATTACCTGAACAGTTGACTCTGGTAAGTTATTAATTTGTGCATGAGTTGCACCTCCATGTCTGTGATTATCATCATCAAGAGCCAATAACATTTCATAATCATCCCTAAATATCACAAACACCTCCAATGTAAAAAAAATAAAATAAAAAATAAAGCATTGAATAAATTAAAATCAAGTCAACTTTCTTACTCATTGAATTCCCGCCGAATTCGTGACACATCATTACGCCTTCTCCTATCACCATCCGCCTCTAACATTTCAAGTATTTGCATTCTCTGTATTCAACACATTACACATATTCACCTTCTTTTAAGTCAATCACACCAACAAGTTACATTATCAAAATGAAAACACATAAATAAAAAGATTTTGAAAAAAAAAAATACATACCACATCCACATCCATATTTGGAGGAAATATTGAGTTTCTTCTGTTAATTGTTTGGAAACGAGTTCTCAATTGAGACATTCTTGAGGAGGCACGAGCTTGAGGTTGAAGGCGTCTTTGAATTGAAGAGGAGCGTGAAGTATTTGGTTGTCGTGCATTTAATGATGATGGGGTTTGCTGCATAAAAATTTAAAAAAAAAAATGTTTTTTTTTTCTTTAAAGTTAAACATAAAAATGATATTGGAACATTAATTATGAAAAGATCGAATCCAAAAATAATTTCTAGTTGGATAATGACATACACGGCGATATGCACGGCGACCTCCAGCTTGGCGTGTACTGTTGTCCTGCTGAGCTGGCATTGCAAATGCAAGATTTGAATCCATCTGTGATAATAGGCACAGCATATGTAACATTGTAAGTGTATATATATATATATATATATATATATATATATATATATATATATAAGCCATATTTTGTTCATGGTTATATGAGTATATTACAAATTTGGTCCCTCGGTTTAGTATTTATTTCGGTTTTGGTTCCAGTAAGCATTGGTTAGCAATTTTGGTTCTGATTTTAAAGTTTCATGAAAATTTTGGTCCATGAATCGTTAAATCTAACTATTAGCTGTTAATTTTTTTAAATGACTGTTTTGCCCTTGGACAAAAACTAAAATAAATAGTTATACCACTAACCACAGCACAGGGACCAAATTTGTATTTTTCTTACTTTTTTTTATTGAATTATTTTCTAAATCATATATTAAGAAGTATTTAGTTTTTTTTAATTTAGGTTACAATTAAAATGATCATTTTGTCCTTGGTCCACCGATTTTGTTAATAAAAAATAAAAAACAATACTCAAATCCCGTTGGATATAGAAGAAAAGGTAGTTTAAAAACATAGTATATTTTTTTTTCAGTTTTGGTCCGAGGGCAAAATGGTCATTTTTTTAAAAGTTAACAGCTGAACAGTTAGAATTGACAATTTAGGGACCAAAACCGTTATGAAACATCGAAATAAGAACCAAATTTGCAAACCAATTCCCTTTGGAACCAAAACCAGAAAAAATATGATAAACGCAACTACATAAATTGTAATTTACTCTAAATATATAAATGAAAATAAAAAGAAAGAACCTCGTTAACTTCAAGGACAGATGTCAGCTCCTCATTGTATAACTGTTGTTGCAATTCTCTAGCCAACATCTCATCTGCCTCAACCTGTAAAGCTCTAACACTTGAATCCTCATTATTACATGTAATGGGCTCCACCACTGGATTCGAGGGGCCCACACCATTAAGATTCTTGTTCCTTTTTGGTCTTGATGTTGAAGTTTCTCCATTAAAATCATCCACAAGTGACACAGAACGTTTTCCAAGATTTCTTGAACTGGACACTGAAGAAGAAGAAGAAGAAGACACTATCTTTGATTCATCAAGATTAACAAAATCTTTTTCATTCCTATGATCCCTTTGCATCAACCCTTTTTTCTGTTGTTCAATGTCTCTCTGTTTCCTATGGTTGTGTGTGGTTCTCCATCTTTCTGATTCAGTAGATTGTTCTTTATGAATAGTTTTCCTGCAAGTATATATCATACAATCAATAAAGTTAAATTTACAAAAATACCCACCAAAAGATATTCAATTTGACAAAAGATTACATGTTTGGTACCTATCAGGCTCTTTTAAAGGATGATGTGAATGTGATACTGATACTCCTTTTCCCTTACATCTATGTGAATCTTTATCTTCAGTTACCATATCCTTAATATCAACTGTATTTGAAATTGAACCATTTTGTACTTCTTTTACCACAATACCAGTTTCATCCTTCTTTTCAATGTGTTTAGATTTTGCAATGTTATGAGGAGATATACATCCATTTCTAACCAACATTCTCTTATGAGGGACTTTGATAGATGAGCAAGGTTGAATACTACTTTCAGCTTTATGATGAGCAACATTTTTGAAAGTATTATCTACTTTACATGATTTGCTTGATCTATCTAAAGACTCTAGTGCAGGAATACGATTGAGGGGTAATACACCTTTAGTAAAAGCATTTACTCTGCTAATTCCAGAATGTCCAATTCCAATCCCATTTTGCTTGGGTACACCAACAAAACTACCACCTTCTTGATGAGTTAACTTTTGAACATCAGAATTACACAAAGATTTACCTTTACCTTTGTCATGTCTTGTAGTGTCTACAGAAGGTTTAGGATGTTCAAAAGAGGTTGAACTATAGGGATGAATAAACAATCTTCGATTCCCACTAACTGTGACTGATTTCCCATTTTCAATTTGCTGATTTCTCATTCTTCCATTAATATAATCTTTACTTGGTTTTTGATTATTTGTGGAAGCATTGTTTCGCCTTTCATTGAAGTCACTATCATGTGTTGCTGATATTTGTTGTCTATCAGGTGTGTCAGGAACCTCCAACACCTGATTCACATCCATTAAATCCATGGTCTGCATCACAACAAGTCAACAAACATGATCAATGGTTTATCCCAATGTTGAAATCATAATTGGAAAACTTAAAACAATAGGCAAAATTGGGAATCTGTAGTTTAGAAGTGCTCTTCATGATCATAATATTTGGAAGGAACAAGACAAGATTTTCAGGGGTTTGCCGAATTCAAAATCTTATTGATCAGAATATATATAAACTGAAGGGCTAAAGAAGAAAAGCACAAAATTAGTTCTGGACTTCTAATGAAAGCAACCAAGCTTCTCTGTTTGATCCCTTATGTGGCATATAAAGTTAAAACCCAGGATTTTGGGCAATATCTGGGAAGTTATCCCAAATTCTAGATATAAACATAAATTTCATACCCACGAGTGTTAAATTCATGTCTAATCCTCAATTTCTAGCATATAAAATAAAAAAACTGAAAGTGACGGATTATACCTTAGATTGTTCCTGTAGGAGTTCCGACCTTGATTTCAATGTCATCTGATAAAATCGATTTATGAATCTAGGGTTCTTGGCGTATGGAAGACGATGATGCGCATGCTTCAAGTTTCCATTTTGTTTTCTGGGATGACAATTGACAGGCGGTGCGAATCGTTGGGCCTCGATTCATAGCTACAAGCAGCCCATCCTAAATTTTATGAGCTGTCTAAATTCTAAAATTCCAAATTCTGTTGATAATCTTTGTCTCAAAACCAGGGCACCCTCTGTTGGTATTTGTGATATACAAGATTACAAGGAGGTCGAAGCAGTCACGCTAAGCCCAAAACGAATTGTTTTCTTTCCAACTTTATGCCATATCAATAATAACAATATGTTTTGGATTTCGGAATACGTAAAATTCAAAGAATATTTCCAACATTTCGAAAATCATATCCAAATTTTTCAAAAATTTTTTTTTTTACCGATATCTAAGAAATTGTTAAAAAAAAATATACCAAAAGGCAAATAGAATACATAAAGGGCCATAATATATAGGGCAAATTATAATAAAGTCGGTATATTATCATAAAATTTCGATTTTAACACCGAGTTATGTTTTTTCGTAATTATGTCACTATATTTACAATTTTGTTACAATATCAACCAAATAATCAGTTCTCCCGGTAACCACTTTTTCCGAATTGCAATAAAGTCATTAAGTTCACCAAAATTTTGATTTTGACACCGAGTTTCACCGTCATTTTTACCATAAAATTTCGATTTGACACCGAGTTTTTTTCATTCTCATTTTCGATTTGACACCCGAGTTTTTTTTTCTCAATTATATCATTACATTTACAATTTTGTTGCAATGTCAACAAATTGACCGATTCAGTAGATGTTATTGTGGTTTAGAAACTCTATTAAGAAGCTTGATTTATACAACAAATAAATCAAGGTCAATCCAATTGTTCAAATTCACTTACAAGTCATTAAAAATGTCATAATCACCCTTTAAGGATATGCTATTATTGTTTAGAAGTTCGATTTGTACACTAAGTAAATGAAGACTCTTACAAGGTCTATTTATACAACAAATAAATGAATCAAGGTCGATTTATTTGTACAACAAATAAATAAAGATCCCTACAAACTCGCTTCTAAACCAATTGATCGGTTACCATCAATCTAGCAGGATAACAAATAAATAACATGACAATATTGTGATGCGGAAGCCACGTAAGATCTAATGTGGTAGGGTTGAGTTTCAAATATAGGGTTTGCATCGAACCCAATTTCACATATCTTTCTATCTCGATTCAATGGTTCAAAGTCACTTAAAAGTCAGGGAAAAGGGTGTACTCATCCTTTTGGGTGACACTTTTTATTATAATGTTTAATGTTTAATTCTCGTCGAAGTATTTCTTTACAAATGATATCTGAAAGTCAATCTAGTGGTTCAAACTCACTTAAAAGTCGGTGAAAATGGCATACTCACCCTTCAATAGATGTTATTACAGTTTAGAAGCTCGATTTGTACAACAAATAAATGAAGGGTCTTCATTTACTTGTTGTACAAATTGAGTTTTTAAACCACAATAACATCTCCTGAAATGGCGACTATGCCCTTTTTACTGACTTGTAAGTGAGTTTGAACCATTGGACCGACATTTGGTTGATATTGCAACAAAATTGTAAATATAGTGACATAAATGCGAAAAAAATAACTCGGTATCAAAATCAAAATTTTTGGCAATATAGTGACTTTATTGCAAATTGCCCTAACATATATCAATTACTTGTAAAATTGGCGGTAATGGTAAACATTTTGTATTACCAAATTTTAAGAACATGTTCAAAATGTAACATCCAAAAGTCACAATAAATTTTAACTTTTCAAAACAACCCATTTCTTCCATAAAATGTTTACAAAACCAATGTTTTCAAAAGTATTATTCAAAATCAGAGTATCCCAAGATCCAATGTCATAAAACCAGAAGATGTGCACAATCACGCCTTCGCTTTACCATGATTTTTTGGAGTACCTGAACCAATAAATTGAAACCGTAAGCACGGAGCCTAGTGAGTTTCCCCCAAAGTACCACCACACGTCATAACAACAATAACATGCATACATGAGCCTTCGGCATGACTGGACGGGCTCGCAAGCCTACAGACTATTTGGACCGCTCTCAAAGCCTTCAACACGATTGGACCGTCGTACCGAGCCTATAGCCTATATGGATCGTTCTTCGGGCCTTCGGCCTGACTGAACCACCTTGCAGGCCTTCAGTCTATCCGAATCGCCCTGGGTATCTTGGCCTTCAACACAAAGTAGGACAGTGTCAACCCAACAAACCATAACATATTAACATACACTATAACAGTCAATAGCTAGCAGATACAGTAGTCATATAGATCTTGTTGGGGTTTGAGCATTCTAACACTTCTAAGGTGTACATACAACCCTAAATACCTTGGATCTATTTTTTCTCTATTATACATGCAAATATCAATTATCCAAGGTATTACCCTAACTAGCATACAATCATATGTACTAGGATAACAAAACTAGATAGAATACATACCTCTTTGTTGTAGCTTGATTCCATGAAGCTTAATAGCCTAGTGCCTCAAGTGTGACACCTCAAATGGTTCACACAACATCACCAACATCTTGGAATAACCATGAGAGAGAAGATACTAGTCTTGTTACTCTATGAAATCGGCTTGCCCTCCTTATTATGCACTAGTGCCAATTTCACCAACCAATGTGGTCTTTATATAGTGTGCACATTAGGGTTACACCATGTAACCCATGACTTTTCCCATTCCTTATGCTCCATGGGTTTTAACCTCCATGGAGTATCCATGGGTCACCACATGGGTTAAACCCAACAAAAGGAATCATGGATCATAAGCCCACATATATAAGAATGAATGATTTACACAATCAATCCCCATATATTTAATTAGTCTCTTTTGATCACTAAATTAATTCTTGATCAATACTAATTAAATAATATGATTTCATATTAATATATTAGAACTTATAATATATTAATATGTCACAAATATCCTCTTCTCACAAAAGGTCTATCCAAATGTCCCGATGCCATGCAACTCAAATGGACCATGCCGGATCGGGTCAAGTATATACCAATTATAGTTATAGACTTAGACACTAATCCAATAGTATTCAATGTGGATAAGTCTAATAACTATTATTGCAAGTATGACTTCATAACCCGACTAGCAATCGTAGCTCTTGAAAGCCGCTGTCGAATCTCTGAATAAATCAATGATGCGTCCATTAGATAAGTGATCATATATTCCTCCATTCTAGATATCATATGGACTGAGACATGGATTATAATCATTCTCTCTGTCCATTTGTTGTTTCCCGATTTCCGATTTATGACGACCGACTAATTGAACAAATCAAATCAGTTCAGGCTTGGCCAAGCACTTAGAGTGTCATCACTAAATCATCGAGGGGCCCACAGATATCGTTTTTATCCCTTTAAGGGTAAAAGGAATGGATAAACTTTGACTCATATGCTTGTACTGACTACTTGTTGAATCATACACAAAGGCACGTTTTATAACATCGAGTTACCAATGCGTTTTCGTACAATCAACGTATAACCAACTCATAGTCAACAACTCATATATCTAGGTTTGAAGAATATAAGATATTATCGTCTCATGATCACTCGTGATAAAATCCATGAAGTGATTCAAATGAGCGTGGGTTGAATCCAATACTCAGAACTTATGAGCACTCATGAATGTCTTAGCAACTCTTGCTATGTCCACTACCTTGGACATCTACAAACCAACTTCATGATAGTCTTGCCTTAATACCTACTTCCAACGTATTATCGACCGTGGATGGTTTGAATAACTTAGTCATTCGGAAAGAATGACCTAGTTATTCTGGAAGTCAAAACATGCAAAGTGAAACACAAGAATAATACTAATCCTATATGGCCCCAAAACTCTTTGAGTGTAAATAAAAACACCTTTTATCTAAGCACCATATTGATTACTCATTATTCATTGTATAATGTTTCGAATTATCAACTTCATACTTGAATAAAAACAATAGTCATGTCATGCTCCAAGCATGCACACTATGTTTGTTTAAACAATAGCTATGCCATACTCCAAGTATGCACACTATATTTGTCTTATGATCCTTACTTTGTGAAATAGATCAATTGACAATATTTCAATGATGCTCATTTCACAATCCCAATCCTTATTGTAAATGTAAGAATATCAAACTCTTGCCATTTACTATTAGATTCTAAACTTACATGCAATGATCCCCTTGCAATGAATATGAACACAAGTCACAAAGACTTGACAACAGACATTACAAAGTATTCCAATGGAGAGCAATTCCATGGAAATGAAGTCTCACATTCAAAGTACATTCCTTTGAACACCTTTCTTACATTAAGTTCTCTAATCTTACACAGATTCAAAGAATAACTTCCACCTATGGAGACAATTCCATATTCCCATTTTGACTATCACTTCTGAACAAGAGTTGCCTCCTTTCAGAATATGTTAATATGGTCCTATCTCTATACTTCCAATTGTCCATGAGCAACCAATCTTTGGCAAACCTCAGATTGTCCTCGACAATTGTTTAATCATTTTAGTCAAATCCAGTTCTATTCCTTTTTCCCTCTTAACGCCCTAGGCATTTGGAAAATTTAGAATAGATAAATATTATAGCACATGTAATCGATCCTATACCCGAAGCATATGAGACCCGATTCATGCTATAAAAAATTTTATTTGTCATGTTCTCAAAATTCAAACTATGAAGAGGGATGCCGTAATCATAATTGAAAATTTGAGAATGCAACATATATAGAATTTCCTTATGTTGAACCATTCCAACATAACATTCATATATATCCTTGACTAAAGTTGATTAAAATCTCAATCTAAGCTTTTAGAATTGGAATGAAGTATAAATCCTCTCCTTTAATTATAGCAAAACAACTTTTCAAAGCGAATTGAACCTTTTGTTTTCTATAATTAACATTGCTAACTTGCAACACTAACCATAATAATCATGCTCCCACTAGCACAATGATTATTATCTTACTAGCACAACACTTATGCTCCCACTAGCTTTGACATGTACTCAGAAATCAACTGGACTTCTAGAAATCAATACTTTATTGACTTTCTTGCCAAAGTTCAGATTTCTGATACAATATTGCTTTGATAAGACTTTATCAAAATCATACACCTTTCCTTAGATAGGTCATATGTTTATCTAGACCTTTTGCCATTCTCACTAGTTAGT